TTTTGATCCTGATTTAATTTTTTTTTAACCCCTATCCCCTTTTTTGGGGATCTATTTTTTTAGATCCTTTTGGGGGGTCTGGGTTTCGGAAACTCTGGAGTTGAGCAGAGCAGCCACATCACGGGCGCGATGCCAATAAACAGCAGGTCGCCCGTGAATGCCACCTTGCTCTCCTTGGCTCTTCTTATGAAAACCTCAGCGGTTCAAGCTCCCGGCTTAAGGACCTATGATACATATATGTATGTATATATATATATATTAATATATATATATATACTAATATACTAATATATATATATATATAGATATATATATATACACAAGCAAACATAAGTCACAGATAAAGATTTCAGAGTCTGAATCTGGCTTCCTTATACACCTGGCAACTTCAGGTCATTTGCCAAAGCATCCTGAACATGAATCCAAGTCTCAGGCAACAGGATCATCGAGTCCTGAGTTCTTCAGGCAGCGAGAACTGTCGGAGATTCATGCTCACAAGCAATAGCTCCTAAACCCTAAACCCTAAACCCGTCGAATAATAGCTGGTTATGGGTCTTGGGCCTTTTGTAAGCCCCCAAACCTAGCCCTAAACCCTGAACCCTAAACCCTAAACCCTAAACCCAAAGTCCTACCTGCTCTTTGGCGGGTTCAGGTAAGCCCCTAAAAACCTTGAAGCCCAGACCTCTGAAGCCTTGAGGCCCTACGCCCTAAACCCCTAAACCCTACATGTAGGTATCAAATGAGCGGTGCTTTTTATTCTGTTTCAATCCTAAGGACGCAAAAAACCCTTCCAAACCCCTTCCGGCACTGCTTCCGCAGCCTTCCGCGCCTCGAAGCGTTGGCACGTTTCTGAGTCATTTCATGTCGTCCCTTCCGCGTGCCCTTCCGCGGACCGTTTTGCGAGCGAACCCTTCCGCAAGAGCATAAGCCCCACTTGACGTATTACGTTAACTCCTTTCAGCGAATGCGGGCACCATAGTCTATGTTGCAACAATTCCTGGGCATGCCTCGGAATTCCTGGAAGCAGACCTGAACCCCGGAAGAATACAACATTAGCTGGTTCAAGCACTATTGTATGTTTCAGTCCAGACATGTCTTCTTTGGGCGCGGCGACTTACGTATTTGGTGCTTCTGCGCCCTTCCGCCGAGCAACCCCTTCCGCAGCCCTTCCGCGTCCTTCCGCGCGCACAATCCCAGCAAGATATGGAGATCAAGTGAAAGTTTTGTGTCCAACTTTAACCTTCCGTAAGAAGCACACAAGTATGAATGTATAAAACACATAAGTTTCATGTGTACAGGTATGCACATACACAGATCCAACTTGCGGCCTCAAGCCACGAAGAGTGAAAGCCTTACCCTAAACCCTAAACCCTAAACCCTCTTAGCTAAGCCAGTCTGGCCAAGCTACACTTTTTGAATGAATTGCGCCCACCTCCCAGAACCTGGGATGCTCTGGAAGATTCTGGCTTATAAGCGTCCTTACTTGGAGGATCATGGGACTTGGTAAGTAAGGTTATAAGTCCCCTAATTGGGGTTATAAGTATAGTTACCTTAATTATAACCTTACTTACTAAGTCCNNAGTCCCATGATCCTTTAAGTATACGGTTGCATCTGCTTCAAGGGGCTTACAGGATTTTGACCGTGGATTATGTAGACATGTTGTGTGGGTTTTTGGCACAGCTTCACAGTCCTCCACCTTCAAGGCGATCAACGAACAGAAACCCAGCAAGAAGGACTCATGCAAAGGCTGGCTAAACCCTAAACCCTAAAC